CACTTGGGTCAACTCAAATTAAGCAAATCTGCCAAACCAACTTAATAATTCAAAGTTGCGACTTTCTCTTATTTTCAAAGCCCTTGACTTGCTTTATTTTGATTCAGTTCAGGGAGTATCTTCAAAGGCTGGCACTCTCCATGTCCATTGAGCCTATGATCACATCACCAATGGAGTTGTACGAGTTACAAGACTTTCTGTTAGGTAAATTTAAATCCTTTTTGATAATTTAGTCGCTAATAGAATTGGTTTATTAAATTTATATTGCATGCGCATTTTCCTTATCTAACCTGGAGCATATAAATCATCCTTTTCAAGAACAAAGCCACAAGTGGCGTCCGAAAACGTGCGAAACTGCAATATTAAATCTTATTAATGAGCCACTAAGGATACCTTCATAGCTTAAACTCATTAAAAACATTTCTTATCAATTCCACACAAGAACGCCTGAAACGCACACCCGCAACAAGTCAGCCAGACGTAGATGGTAGCTCCCGGTTGCAGCAACGCATTCAAAGGCTTCAAGATCAACTTGCCAGTAAGGACGTCCAATTGCAGATGTGGCGTCAGAAGGCTAATAAGTCGGAGGAAGAGGTCAACAGCGCACGAAAAAGTGAAACAGAGGCCCTTGAAAAGCAGTCTCTAGCTGAACAACGAGCGCTAAAGGCCCGCAAGTCAGAGACGGTGATTAACAAATTACGCGACGAGATTGTGCACTTGAAGGCCGACTTGAAGGACAGTACAGACATGCAGGTAATGTGACTGGTTAAAGCCCTCTGTTCTGTGACATGTTAAATTGATGAAGTTGCTACTTATAATTAATAAGTAACTGTGGTTATTATGACTAATTAGATTAGACTGGAAAAGGAATCTATGCGAGCAACGGCAATGGCGGATACGGTCCAACGACTTGAGGACATACGTCAACGGCAAGCCAATAAAATCGGTGAATTAATGTCTGTTCTGGAGTCCCAACAAGCTGCTACTGCAAGGAAAATTTTACAGAGGGATGAGAACCAAAGTGTCTTTTCTGAAGAAATGCAGGAAAATTACAAACTGGTAGATGAACTGAGGAAGGAGAATGTGGATGTACGTAAGGCTGGTTTTCGTTATTCTTGGATTGGGATTTTTAGACGCAATGTTAAAAATATTCTTATGTGCTTCACTTTTGGCTAAGGCTATCTGTTGCAAATATTCAACCTTCAATACGACTAACTTATCAGGCGATATTGACGTTACTTCGGTTTACCATGTAACTCAATCAGTCAGCCTCTACCCACTTCCTCTTAGAAGAGTTAGTTGCTTATTGATCTGAAATTATTTGCTATTCCGACCTTTATGGATTGTAAAGATAAAACCCCGCTTTTACTGGCTGTTTACAGAAGTACCTTCTCTTTTCATGGCCTTAACTCACGTCACCATCTTGGAGTGCTAGTTGATTTAATTAGACGATGGGCCCTAATGTAACAAATTAAGTCGGCTTAGGAAGGAGAAGAGGCGATCTTTGGAGCAAGAAATCTATTTGCCTGACGTCGTGGATTCGCATTCACACTCATCACCGGAGATAATTGCAGGAAAGGTTGACAGGGGCATAGGGTGCGCAATATTCGTAATCCATTGTGGCCACGCGACGACATGCGCACTATAATTAGCAGGTCTCCTGATCAGCGCCGGGGGTCGTGATGAATGTGATAACCGCTTGGTAGTCCGCATCCAAGGGCGTGAATGGCCAAGCAAGTCGCAACGGTGGGGAGGAGAGACGCTAATTCTCAGGTAACAGCTCACTCGAGGGCACCCAGCCATATTTTAAGGCTCAACGAGACCGAAGTCTATGCAGGAGGTGACAACCACATGAGCCGCGTGCTGCCTAAGTCATGATTCTCAGGCTCGCAGTTCATCAGCAAACGCAGTGCCTTGCAGTTCCTATACTTTGTACTGAGTTTTTGCCTAAAAAAAGGAATCGGTCGGTTGGGAAGGGCGTAGGGCCACGATGACAGCGGGCCCAGTTGTCGTGTAATTATCATTCCAACATCCCGTA